TCTTAAGTTTAGTTGTGGTGTCTCCAAGGGAAGGTGACATGTCCTGTAGAACTTCTGTGTCGATTATGGAGAAGCTAGTGGGTTTAAACCACCAAACTCCAGGCTAGCAGAAAAATCTCTTAGCCACAGTGCTACCAGAGCGCCTTAGACAGAGCAAGACAGGGTTATTTCATCCTCAGACCCTCCCCAAACTCCCACAGGGCAGAATCATGCCCCCTACACTTCTCAAGGCAAGGTTGCAGCCTTCTGCACTCCCCCAAGGCAAAGATGTGTCCACTCACCTGCAGCCCCCGAGCCAGGCTCACAACATGGCTAGCCACAGTGACCAGCAGGTGCTGGGGTTCTCCAGTTGCGTCCTTCTCCAGCACAATGGTAAAGACCTCATCCCCAGGCTGTGGGCGGCAGACTTGGGCCAGGACATAGGAGCAGGAGCCATGCAGGTCATAGACGCGTCCATCCAGGGTGACATAATGGGTACCCCCACTGGCTAGGCAGCGGCCACAACCCGTAGCATGACAGGCCTGGATTCCATTCTCCACTTTACACTCCTCATAGGGCCCACAGGCTGCGCCCTCCTGGCAGTGGACCACGCCACCTGGCCCACACTCACAACGCCGTTCACACTCAGGGCCTGGGTAGAAGGACTCGCCCAGTGGGTAGTACTGGCCATTATGGAGGCAGCCGCACTGGCCCACAGGTACACAGGTGTCACCACTGAGAACGAAGCCAGCATCACAGACGCAACCCTCATGGCAGGTAGGCTTGCAGCCCTCGGGTGCTGAGAGGCTGGGGCAGCTCACAGGACAAGAGTTTCCGCAGAGCTCATAGTGGCTGTGGGCAGGGCACTGCAGAGCTGTGGGAATACAAGTGAAGGAGCTAGGCACCGTGAAGTCAGGGGAGAGCCAAGAGTGGGAAAACCTGCCTGGGAAATCTGTCTTAGACCAACTCTGTCTTCTTCAGTGGGAGCTCTGGTGACCAAGTGGTAAGTAATTGCACTGCCAAGCCAAGGGCAGGGAGTTAAAAATCCACCAAGTGCTCTGAGAAACAGCATCATCTGGTTCAAGAGGACTTAAAGCCCTAGGAGCATAGTACATGTTGGGCCAATAACTGTAAGGTAAGCAGTTTGAATCCACCAGCCACACTATAGGAGAAAGATGTAACATGCCACCAAGTCAAAACCAATTCATAGCTGACTTTCCTGCAGATTTTCAGAGGCTGTAAATTGCACAGGAGGATTTTGCCCTTCTTTCTCCTTCAGAGCTGCTTGTGTATTTGAACCACCAGAGAGGCACCACCTTTGGGATATTAGTGTAACTTCCTACAGACCATGCCACCAGAATTCTTGAGAGGGTCACTTTAAGTCAGAATTGAGTAAGAAATTGTATAAGAAAATAAATCTGAAAAAAACCCCTCTTTGTATGTACCTAAAACTATGCCTAGGTACCAGTTCTATCTGTGGACTCAGACCTGGTATAACTTTGTATACTAATATAACCAGATGCCCCTGAAGGCATCAGACAAATTCTATCTGACCATAATATGTATTTGCGCGGCCTGGTATGTCCCAATGTAAACCTGATCAAGTGTCTCAAACCAGTATTACCCCTGTCTGAGGTCCTTACCCTTGTATATTTCATTGTGTGAAACAGTCTAAGGGCACCTGACTAGGTGCAACTCATTATTACTTACTGAGGCAACTGTTTCCTCTGGTGCATCTGATGGACCAGATTATCTACATCTCCAAACCATGAGAGTGTATTAGCTCAAGGGCTTCCAATGCAGTGTATCTAAGCCTCTCCCACTGTGGTAAACCTGACTCAGTGGATTACAATGTCTAAGTGTGAAGCGTGTGGAGATACATGTCACAGGGGAAGCAAGGTGAATTCTAAATCTCATAGAAAGGGACAAACCCCTCCTGTGTGGATCATGCATAGATCGGTACTCACGACAGAAGTCTGGTCGTCTCCATTCACCCAGCTGGGCCCCAGCGGCCTGGCAGAGTGCCACGTAGGCAGCCACAGCAGGGCAGAGGACTCCAGGGTGGCCTTCAGCCTGGCAGGCGTCCAGCAGGCAAGCCTGGAAGTACGTCTCGGGAGGCACAAGGCTGTGGCACGGGGCTAGAGGGCCTTCGGGAGCCGAGATCACGCCGCAGGCGTCCGGGCCGCCGAAGGCAGCCTGCTCTTCTGGCGTGCACTGCTGCGGGCATGGGCCGGGAACGCACTCCCCGCAGTCCGGGGCACCGCCCACCTGCCAGCCAGCCGGGTTTCCATCCACCGCCTGCAGGTCATCCTTGGGATTCTTGTTGTAGTTCCCACATAGGCCACAGAGCGCGCCCGCGTACGCTGCCGGGACGTGCAGGCGCACGAAGCTGTCCCCGTCAAAAGACAGTGAGATCCCTGCAGCGGTGGTCACCACGACGTCGCCGCCGCTCAGATATGCACTCAGGCGCGAGTCCAGCTGGAAGGGCAGCGCCACCACCTTGTTGTCCACCTGCAGGCATGAATGGGAGCAGATGGTAGTAATTACGTTGCTATTGTGTACGTCTAGTCGTAATCAACCCATAGTTGACGCTCCAGCGGGTTTTCAGAGGCAGTTTAATTCCGTGGGAGGAGATTGCCCATTTTTCACTTTCAAAGCAGCTGGTGGATTTGAATCGCGTGATACAAATGAATGACAACACAGCTCTTTACCACTAGGCCACGAGAGCTCCCTAATAATGATAACGATCATAATAATAACTACAATGTAAGTGCAGATAATAACTATATTAACTATTTAAAAAGCAAGCAAATACTTAAGGTAGGAGATGCCCATTTACCTCCCTATGAGTAGTTGATTTCGAACCTAACGTCATTAATTAGCTAGCTGCCCAGCAAGGATGGGCACTCAGCTCTCATGTGATTTGCAGCCTCAGAAACTTGATGGAGGGTCAGCTATGAGTCAGAACCAATTTGACGGCAATTAGCTGATCCTTGGTAATGAAGATATTGGTACCCGTTAAACAACCGGGAAGGAGTTCTGGTAAGAAGCTGCTCTGCAGTCCCAAAGGCATGTGGTTTGAATCCACCACTTGCTCTGCAGGAAAAGGATGGGCAATCTCCTCCCATGTGATTAAACTACCTCTGAAAACCAGCTGGAGGGTCAGCTATAAGTCAGTTCCAACTTGACTGCACACAACAACAATAATCAGGAGCAGGCTGTTCTGTGCCATAGAGTTGATTCTGACTCACAGTGATTCTGCACATCAGAATACAAAGATTGCATAACCTTTTCTACAAAGGAGTGGCCACAGGATTCAAATCATCAACATTTCTGTTAGCAGCAAGTGCTTAACTATTGTGGCTCCTTATGATAAACCTAAAACTGCAGTTACTTCTGAGCACTTGTTGAAACAAAAGTATAAGACTTCTGAGGGTTTGTCTGACTAATAATAAGTGATCATAGTAATGATAAACAGTAGCCACCCACAGGAGCACTTTCTATGGCTATGCCCTATGTTAAGTGATTTGCTTGTTTTGTGTTGTTTAATCCTTACAGTATCCAATAAAGTATTATCCCATCCCTATTTTATTGATTTGAAAATTGAGGCACAGGCACTTCAGGAGCTTGCCCGGGTGATCCAGTTTTATAAATGGCTCAGGGAGGATCTGAGCTGACTCCCCACCTGTGGTCACTTATGTCTGCCTTGGTAGTTAACAAGGGCAAAACTAATAAAATAAATGACAAAATAAATGACTGTGGTGCTGGAGATGGACTGCCAAGAGAACAAACAGATTTTTCCTGGAGAGGGTGAAGCAGGCTGCCTCTTGGCGACAAGGACTCTGAGGCTTTGTCTGACATACTTTGGGTGTGTTGCAAGGAAGGGCCCATCCTTGGAGAGGAACACCATGCTTGGGAGGGTGGAGGGACAGCACAAGAGAGGTAGACCCTTGATGAGATGGATTGATCCAGAGACTGGGGTAATGAGGATAAGTGTGTCAGAAGCAATAAAGTTGGCACAGGATAGAGCAGGTTTCAGGAACATAGGGTTGCTGAGACACAAGTGACTCAATGGCATATAACAATAACAACAACAACAACAACAAAGAAATGAAAACAGTGGTTAGATGGACCTTCCACAGCCCATTTGCTGATACTGTGTTACAGGCTTCTCACATTGTCCTCTGCAGTGAGTACTTTTCTCAGACTTATTTTACAGAGGGATGAACTAAGGCTCAGAGTAGGGGAAGCCACTGCCTCAAGCCACTAAGCTCCAAAACCTGCGCTCTATCCGACCCCACTATCAAGCTTCCTGTTAAGCAGTAAAGGTGCTGGGCCCTGGTCCTACCCCAGGCTGGCTGCACCCCTCCTCACCTGGAGCTGCTTGGGCCACCGGGCACTAAGGGTCAGGCTGTGGCCATAGATGTGCAGGGTGACGCTGCGGGTGTAGCTTACGGCCTGGCTGCCCCGGTGCTCATTGGCCACTGTGACTGTGAAGTTCTCAGTCCCCTTGGGTGGTGCGTGGCAGGGGGCACTCAGGAGGTACTCACAGGTACCCTGGAAGTCAAAACGATGCCCGTCCAGACTGACATAATGTGGATCACCCCATGCCTGGCACTCAGCGGTGCTGATGGGTTGGCAGCCATGCTGGCCTGAGGGCTGAAGAGCACACTCTTCACTTTGTCCACAGCTGGCTGGCTTGCAGACCACAGAGCCACCTTGTGGCCCACAGTGGCACCACTGGGAGCAGGTGCCATCAGCCCAGAACTCACTGCCCGCCTCATGGTAGGTGCCATTGGCCCAGCAGCCGCAACCTCCATCCAGCGGGACACAGCGGTCAGCGCTCAACACGAAGCCCGGGTTGCACTGGCAGCCCTCAGCACAGGGGCCCTCACACGAGTCTGGGGGTGTTGAGGGCACAGGGGCCGGGCAGCTGGCTGGGCAAGGTGGGCCACAAAGCTCGTAGTGGCTGTTGTCTGGGCAGGAGATAGCTGTAAGAAGGTGGAGGGAGACAATGTTATTAGGAGGAAAAATCTGAGCACAGAGACAGACAGATACACTGATGGGGGAAGATGAAGTGGACAAAGATAGTTGGATAAAAAGAAACTGAGATTGCAAGAGAGCCAGAAAAAGAGAGAGGGTGAAGTTCTGCTCCCTAGATCAGAGTACGGAGAGGCAGACCTAGACAAAGAGTTGTTGGGTAGTGTCAAGTTGGAACTAACCCTCTCTCTAGCATGTTTTCAGAGGCAGTAAATTGCACAGGAGGAGATTTCCCATCTTTCTACTGATGGGCAGTTAGTGGATTCAAACCACCTGCTTTTGGGTTGATAGCGTAACTCCTTGCCTGTTAGGCCACCAGAGTTCCCTAAGGGGGAAGGGAGACACACAGAGAGAGAGAGAGAGAGAGAGAGAGAGAGAGAGAGAGAGA